TCACTTTTTTCCACATCCTACTTGTATTTGTTAAATTAAAACAATGTTTGTAAATCCCAGGCCCTGAAGATGATCTTAATAAGGTCGAAACTTTGGCTCGATAAAGAAAATGTTTTTCTGAAACCAACATCACACCAGACCGCATCTCACGATTTGTGAATAATCATCGATTGACGGTCACTAATCACCGCACACTTTAATAATAATAACCCACCCCTCGAACCAGAGCCGGAAACGAGGAATCGTTCTTACCCGATTGAGAATAGGTCATACTGGCACCTGTTCGACATCGGGGAGTGCCAGCCACTTGGGTCGAAATTTCGAAATAATAGTAAAAAATGTTGAATGTACTATTCCTCCACAAATTTATGTAATAATAATTATATTTGAAGGTTCGGAAGCAGATCCCACAAGTTCACTAAGCTGGGATCTGGGAAATGAAAGAAATTCAAGAAAACATTTAATCTATTGTAAGATGTATAAATATTGCTTATTCCTTTATTAATAATCGAAGGTTGTTTATCATGAAACCTTTCAAAAAAATAAATTAAAAGATTGAATAATAAATTCTGCACATTATATCTCGAAAAACGCCTGGCACATAAAAAGGGTTTTATTAATAATTCTTTGTCAAATCTGAGTGATTTCTTAATTTCAACTTGCGATCAAAAAGTTTTCGAAAACTTTCAGTAAATCTAAATTAGAAGGACGAAAGCAATAAATTGAGAATTATTCAAGGGGCAAACATACAAAGTCGCAATGGAAAAGATCAAAGTCCAAGAAAGCATTCAATAAAAAAATGGGAAGCAAACAGAAACTGTTAAAAAGACAATAGAACAACTCAAAACAGTTGAATTGAAAGAAAAAATCATAGTGACTCGAGGAATCTTTTTGAAAATAGCAACCAATGAACATTCGACGAGGTTATGTGTGTTATAAACTACCAAAAAAAAAGTGAAAGGCTCCAGATTATAACTCAGAAGAATATAATACATTAAGAAAAGCGTCCCAATCATCTCAATTCTAACTGAGACAACCACACTTGTTAAAACAAGGATATTTCCACATCAGACTGGAAAAGATCCCAAATTAAAATGCTTTTTAAATCTGGAAACAAACCTAAGGAACGAAGGTGCCTTCAGGTCAACCTGTAGTCTACCAGTCTCAGGCAAACCTATTGAAAAACATATTCTCTTGAGGTTGGTCCGATGTTAAATAAGCTGACGGGAAAACTATTCGAGGGAAAAAAAAGAGCTTTCTACAAATGATACCATTATCAAGCTGTATGAAAAGATAACAAATTAAGTCATAGCTATCTTCTTTGACGTCAAATGAGCTTTTGATATTTTCGAATGACGTTGTTACCTAATAAGCTCAATAGAATAGTCTGCCCCACGAAACAACTTCAGAATCATTTCTAATTACTTTGAAGACAGCGACAAATCGTAACTTAGCACAACACTTCGAGGAGAAAAATAGCGTAGGGCGTAACTCAACGGTAGTTCAGGGCCATCTTAAGAAACTTGAGCATTTTAAAATTTTAAACTGATTAGTTAGTTTGTTGACATACACTATTGGCAGGAAATGTGATGAAATACATCACTATCATTATAGACATTTTATCGTTCACGTCCAAGAATGGTTACATTAAATGGCAGGAACAGATTTGTTGGATTAGGTTACATCCCATTGTCAGCTCCCTTACGATTCAAAATTACTGGTTAAGTTCTTTGATCATCTTTGGCTATTGTTCCTAAGGATTCGACATTAGATTTATTAAAGTCGTACCAGAAAAAATTGTATTTAAATCTGAAGGTGAGACTGATGGCAGAAATCAATTTCTTGATCTATTGATGGTAAATTAGGTAAATAATAGCTTAGTATGTAACGATAATTGGAAGTCGATAGGCATGAGAATAGAATTGCAGACACGGAAAAAAGTGAGAGAAGCCGATTTGTGTAAAAAATCTCCGTTTCATTTAAATGTTAATTGAGTAACTACCCCCGTTTATTTTCGTTTATAATTGGATTGTATTTTTAAAGGTGTAAAAAATTTAATTTTTGGACGAGTAAGTTAACGTTTTCTTTTTTCACGTTTTATCTACGTTTCATATTATTTTTATTTGTGCGGTTTCCATTTTATCATTATCTTCAGTAACTCTGGTGATTTGCTCTTATTGCGAGAAAGATATTTTGGGTGTAGCTTTTGGAAGTCATCTGAAGGTAAGTTTAATTTTAGAAAAAACCTAATAGGAGAGAGAGAGAGAGAGAGAGAGAGAGAGAGAGAGAGAGAGAGAGAAGAAGGAGAGAGAGAAAAAATAATAGGAAGGATAGAACATGAAAGAGAAGGGAAGGAGGAAGTAGTGAAAGGTAAAATACAAACAAAATGGCCAAACAGATGTAATTAATAAGGTGTTTAAAAAAAATAATGTAAGAGAGCAGTATCTCTATGGTAACGTTGAATCATCTATTAAAAGTGCAACACTGTTGAAAAATTTTGTGCTATACCGAAGCTGAAATTCTACTTTGGATTCAACTAAAATTGCGAAGATCGTGACCTACTAAGACATTCAATATACCTTGACTACGACGAAGTGAATAAGAATCTTGAGAAAACAAATTGGACCAATACTGATAATTTGCTGTTTCACAATGGCGTTTATCCACCCGATGGTTTTAGTTGCAACTGGAGCAGCACTCGGAGCGTACGGAATATATTCGATGAAGAATGTACTGTTGAATGGAGATGCAGAGCCCGAGCAGGAGTACAACGAACAAGGAGAAAGAGGGTTCTTCAAGAAGCTCATGAAAATCCAGCAATACGTGCAAATGGCCCAGTACGCTTACGACGCCGCAGTTCATTACGGACCTTCCGTCCTAGAATTTGTGAACGGTAACATACGGTAAGTTCCTCAACATTGTAAGTTTCTATCGGCCCAGACTTTTCATCTAACAATTTTCCTTATTTCAGGAGAGTCTCCGTCTAAACTCACCGAATTTGACTATAACCTTTTCCCGGATTTGACTCATTTGTATTTCATGGATTTGACTTTTTTTACAAAGAAGATTTTTTGTGCGCGATATGGACGCTTATGATTTATCGATTTGTGTTATAGTGACGTTTGTAAATACGGTGTTTATTTGGAATTCACCTTGTTGTACATAGAGAAGAAAATCTTAAAATTGCATATAATGCAAATATTTGTAAATATAAACTTGTGTATATAGCAGCTGGCTATTTTCTGTTCATATATATAAAGAACCTATAGAATAATTTAATTATCTGGTCTTTCGTTTACTTTCTAATTCAAATTATTATTATTTTGTCAAGAAACCAAATTATACAATATGAAACTATATACAAGTACGTAACCGAATGTTAAAAAATCATGAAGGCGTTTAAAGTCACTAATGTGCATAGACATATCTGCGTGTACACAAGGTAAACTGATAGATATAATTAGATGGTTAAGAGGAAAACGAATTATTTAATCTAAGCATGGAATGTCTTTGCTTTACGCTTTAGAAGAATTGCGTTTGCCATTTCACTTATTTCTGCAAATTAAAATGATTTATTTATTAAATTAACAAAGAAACATTATAGAATTTTTTTTTAAATGTAGAAGAAAGTAGTTAATTGAGTAATTATCCCAATTATTTTCATTTATAATTTGATCCTATTTTTAAAGGTGCGATAAATTTAATTTTTGGTCCAGTAAGTTATCCTTTTCTTCTTTCACGTTTTATCTACGTTTCTTATTATTTTTATTTCTACGGTTTCCATTTTATCATTCTCTTCAGTAACTCTGGTGATTTGCTCTCATTGCGAGAAAGATATTTTTGCTTTAGCTTTTGGAAGCTTAAGGTAAGCTTTAAGGTAAGTTTAATTTTAGAAAAGGCCTAACAGGCGAAAGGAAAAGCTGACAAGTACCAATTTGTTAACTTAGACTCTGCTCATGCCGTGACTCAACTATAATTATAAATTAGTAGGGGTCTATCCCTTTCAATTAATTGTTAATAATAACTTTATATATTTTATTTCTGACTGTTGTATTCAACGATGCTGGGTTTTGGAATGTGTAAACATACCGAAAACAGGTGTTGTGCTCAATTCTTTAATCTGCCAAAATTCGAATAGTTTTCATTCTTTTTCAAAGCAACGCTGGAATAAAGGTAGAGCCGCTTTTGTCCACTTTTTTCCGGTGTTAGCATTAAAATCGTAGCCATAGATTCGTTTCGAAGGTTTTTTTTTCCTAAGAAGAAGTACCAGATTTCTAACTAAAAAGTAAAGCCCTTGACGCGTAATTAGAGTAATACCGGCTCGAGAAAGAAAAAAGGGGAAAAAAAAGAAGAATTGAGGAACTACTACTTTGAAACGATTTTGATGGTAACACCGGAAAAAAATGGACAAAAGCGGCTCTACCTTTATTCCAGCGTTTCCTTGAAAAAGAATGAAAACCATTCGAAACGATGAAATTAAACGAGCACTACGCTTGTTTACGGTATAACTGCACATCCCACAACCCAACATCGTTGAATAATTTTATACTTCTTTAATATCAATATTCATGGAACAGTCCAGTTAAAATGGGCAATATAAATAGAATTTTATAGCTGATTTATCTTATAACGACAACTCCTATATTAAATAGATAATTTCCCATTGTTTCCACTTTACTCACGACCATAGGCCACTTAGGGTTGCCTACCATCACTCAAAACTTTCTTAACTCTATTAACACCATCCAATATAGGCTCTAGAATAAATAAATTCAACTTGATGTCAATTGATCCAATTCTGACGGTGTATGTTTTAACATTTTTGACACGGCTAATGTTTCCTAACGTCGCGATATGATAGATGTGATAATAAATCACCTCGAGGGTTTTAAAAGATCTTTTATCCTTTTCAACTCAGGGAGATTCGAGAATTGATATCGACACGACCAATTTTTGAATAAAATTTGCTGAATAGTTTTTTAATTTTTGACCCGACTCACCTATCGAACCTGATCTGGGATGAGCTTCGAACATGATGACACTCGCCAGTTCCCTTTTCATCGAGTTAGAGAGATGAGAGAGAGGTTTCATGTGTAAGAGTTCTTCATAAATGATCTCCAGATCTTCCGGGGTCCTGTCGTTGCTCCTGGGATAGGAAAGACTGTTATAAAACTTTTCCTCGTATCTCGGAAATAACACTTACGGCTTTCTTAGTATCATCCTGAGCCAGGCGTCGGGCCCGCGGTCGCTCAGGTCCGCTATGGCTTCGTGCAAGTGTTCTTCGGCCTCGGCTATGTCCTGCGGTGGCGGACGTGGGATGCAAGTGATGTCCCTGTCCTGTCTGAATTGGTAAAGGACGCACTTATCTTTGAACGGATGTTCTCCAGTAACTAAAAATTAAAAAAATGTAATTACCAGAAAATCAAACATTAATATATTTATACGCAAAATCCTCTGACTCGATGCTTTTTACTCAAGTTTCTTAACGAGTTCAAAATGGCTGTACCATTCCTGTAAGAATAATACGATATCAATGATGAGTCTTTTTTTAATAACTTCTTGTAAAGAATCTATTTTTAATATATTTTAAGATTAGAGATATTTTTTAAACTATAGATAACATCTCATGTATACAAACATACTTTTCTTTAGTTGGTTAACTTTCGCAGGGTTTACTGGTTGACAACCACAATGTTCGATCAATTTGGTATTACATTCAATGTCCAAATTGTCATATTGTGGTCCAAAATATTTTCAATGTAATTTTTGTCATACAGGAACATTTAACGTCCAACCAACCCGATTGGTGGAGTTGACGAAAGGTCACAACATTTTACAGTACTTCTTCCATATTATTCTCAATTAAAAACCTATGAATTTTGCCGGGATTCGAACCCAGGACCGCTTATATGACAAGAACGAATCGGACGCCCTAACCACTCGTCCACATTTCCCACTTTCAGATAGACCTAATATTGTATATATAATTTAAAAAAATCATGTTTTGTCTTCTTTGTGAGGTATTTTATAGATGCTATTTTTTATAACACAGACAACTAAAAAAGAACTCATCACCCCTTCCGAGTATCGTTGCTATAAAGTTCAGACGTGTGGAGGATATATCAATTAACTCGTAAAATCTCTTTCATTTTATTAACTTGCCCTAGATCTACGGATTCGAAAAAGTTTGCACGATTTGTCACTCCCAAAAGACCGATTTCCTCCACGTCTACATATTAAAATTTTATTAGCGAGCCCGCAGTCCTTATAAATCGCGATCTGGTTGAGGAAGTTCGTTGATATATGATCGTCCTGTGTCTACTCAGACTTTGAACGCAATTTTTAGCTTTCAGGCTGATTTTCATCAACAGAAAACGTTATATACATAATTAAGAAATCTTAAGTAATAAATTGAATTTTACTCCTTGAGGTATGTATACATTTTTAACTACCTTTCATTTTTCAGGATGTTGACTTGTTCCAATATTTATTTACTGTTGGATCAATGTTTTAGCTTTTACAACCCTTAAGGTCTAGCGAAATGTAGAATTTTAAAGCTCTGGATCAATAGTCCGGCCATCTGGAACAATCTGAAAGTGCATGATACAATAATCCTACCAATGGCGAACATGAGCTTTCCGATACTACCACCGGGCTTATGTTACCCAGAGCTTAAAGTTGATAAGGCACAGCGTAATTTTCAGAAATTGTAATGCTAATTTTTAAAAAGGCGTGTTTTCCCATTTACTACTATGTCGTACCAAGTTAATTTTCTAAATTTTCATAAAGAAGAACAGGTCACTTGAATTTTACGCCTTCCTAAGGGCAGCTGATTAGAATAAATGTTTTAAATAGTAGAATTTTTTTTACGAGGGTTTACAACAGCAGAGGTTATTTCAACCTTCGGGGTGCCGGTGTTTTTGAAAAAAAGCCGATTTGTATGTCGGGTTCGAAATCCCGCTGGATTTGGACATGACACATCGTGGCCCACAAGCCAGCGAGCGTGCAGATAAAAGTCTTGCCCAGCTGTAACGTTTTCTGAAATAACGAAATAATTTTTTGATCGGGGCCGAAAATCTCGTCGAATAATCCGTTTCTCTTAAGTCGGCCCCTTTCGCCGAAAGTCGGCTACCATTCTAAAATTACCATTTTGATAATATCGTGTCGATCAAGACATTTCATCCTTTTTTCCCCAAATCGTTTGACAATTTAGTTCAATCCTAACTGTACAATTTTTTGAAATGCCCGACAGAAAGATAAACCCTGCGCACTTATGCAAACATTGCATCAGCACTTGAAGACCTTATTAAAACAAAATTCGTTGCATCCCACTCATTATAATTTATTCGCCCTACATTCAACTTGCGCTATATACAAAGTTGGGAAAAAGTCCTTGGAAAGCTGGGTTGGTGTTTTAGCGTCCGATGACCCTATTTTCCTCAAGTATTTCTTTCGTTATTTCCACAAATCTAAGCATAATTCAAAAGTACATTCATAATGACTGAGTAAATTAAGAACAATTGATATCTTGACAATTTTATAGTCTAAAAATAAAACCATGTAATTAGTTTTCAACTAAAGTTTCTATTCCTGTTAAATCTTTATAAAGAAGATATGATTAAAATTGACACCAACCTTAAACAATTTTAAGCAAAGTTTTTTTTTTATTTATCTATATTTTTAAACATGCTTTATTACTGTTATAAAAGCATATACATATTATTTGATTGCATCATATTATTAATAACCAATACAGGGGCGTCGGTGGCCGCAATGGTTTTAAGGACACGGCGCACATCAGTGTAAGGTAAAGGCCCCGGGTTCGAATCCAGCGGGATGAGTGATGAGCGCTGTGTCAACGCCTAAAGCGTTGCGGCCACCGACGCCCCCTAGATTTAATTAGTAGACTTTAGTAGGCTTCGAAAGTGGTTTGTCTTGGACTTGAGACATATCTTCTCAAATACATTAAACACCAAGCATTAAAGTCAAGTAGAACGTAAACATCGAAGTAACAATAAACAAAAGAATAAAATATTTCACTTAAAATCGAATATTGGATTCGAAAACTATTGGAAAAACATGTTGAGGTACAATAATTTTGTTGGTTGGTTGTCAGTGTTGTTTGTTTCGTCTGTTATAAAAAGTCATGGTTTATATATTTAAAGAGAAGTAATTACTAATTTAAAGGAGGAGGGCTAAACATCCAAAACTTGGGTATCCAGGAACAGGGGTCAGAACCACTCTGTAATACTAATACCAAATTAATCTTAATGAAATTATAAGGGCTATGTGAATAAAAATCGTATATATTAAAATAATGTACTAATTAGTATAAACTAATTGATTAATAGAAAAATTAAAATTTGGAATCACCAATGAGTTAAATTGACAGTGAGATGCAAGTAGTTGTCAGTAATCATTTTTTGTAGAAACGTTCACTTTTGTATTTGGCATGAATCACCTTAAGAAGTGTTTGCATATTTTATTTTAAAAAATTCATACCGTGATATATGAGACCTTCTTCCAGCAACGCCTGCCACATGGTCGTACCCTGATGCCTGTCGATATCCGGGGCCAGGCTGACCAGCCAGGTGACCAGTTCGCTTCCCGAAGCGCAGCAGGGCACCACGAGCCTGCCACCGGCGGTTTTTCTCTCCCGTAAAATAGACTCGGCCTCATTGAGCAGGAGCGTCCTCAATACCCAGGCGGCTCTCGTCATAACGACGGAAGGGACCTGAAAACAATATTTCAATCATGATCAGTACGCACAACTGCACAAGAAATATTGCTTGTCCGGAAGCAACGAAGTCTCCCTTTTTTATGGCATATATCAGCTGTTTCACAAACGAGCCAATTTGATAAAACAACTGAGCAGCTGGGATACGAAGTTATTCAGCCTACACAAAAATCAGGTATCTACAATTCAAGGCAACTTAACAAATTAGTTTAGCTTTCATTTTCACTAACAATATGGTTCACACACTCTCTCTCACATTTCCCTTTTCTTATCCCTTTCTCCCATTCATTCACTCCCATTCTTTCCCTTACTCTATTTTTCCCTTTTTTCGTAAATTGCAAGAAACATCTCATCTCTTTCTCCTCGTTCTCTTACACTTCCTTCTTATTATATTTATTCCTTCTCTTTCTGAATCTTTACTTATCACTATCTCATTAACTCGCTATCTCTCTCTCCTCTCACTCTCTCTCTCTCTCCCTCTGTATATATCTATCTATCTATCTCCATATTGATCTATTTTTCTCATCTCCCCCTCTCTCTCGATCAATTTCATTCAATTCGTTCTTTCACTTATTCCTTCTTATTATTATTCCTTCTGACTCCTCTCACTCTCTTTTCTGTCTCTCTCTCTCTCACTCTCACTCTCTCTCTTTTCTCTCTCTCTCTCTCTCTCTCTCTCTCTCTCTCTCCCCCCCCATATCGATCTATCTTTCTCATCTCCCCCCTCTCTTGATTTATTTCATTCAATTCGTTGTTCCCCTTATTCCTTCTTATTATTATTCCTTCTGACTCCTCTCTCTCTCTTTCTCTTTCTCTCTCCCTCTCTCTTTTCTTTCTCTCTCTCCCTCTCTCTCTTCTCTCTCTCTCTCTCTCCATATCGATCTAACCTTTTTCATCTCCCCCCTCTCTCTTGATTTATTTCATTCAATTCGTTCGTTCCCTTATTCCTTCTTATTATTATTCCTTCTGACTCCTCTCTCTCTCTCTTTTTCTCTCTCTCTCTTTCGCCGACTATCTATCTATCTCTTTCCATATCTATCTTTTTCATCTCCCCCTCTCTCTCAGTCTATTTCAGTCTCTTCGTTCATTCACCTATTCCTTCTCATTATTATTCCTTCTTTCCCTCTACTCTCTTTCTCTCATTCTGTCTTTCCCCCTCTCTCCCTCTCGCACTTTCTTTCTCCTCGCTCTTTCTATTTCTTTCCATATCTATCTATCTTTCTCATCTCCTCTCTCTCTCAATCTATTTCATCTCCTCGTTCTTTTACCTATTCCTTCTTATTATTATTCCTTCTCTCTCTCCCTCTCTTTCTCACGCTCTTTTCCCTTCTCTCCCCTCTCTCTCCTCTCTCTTTCTCACGCTCTTTTCCCTTCTCTCCCCTCTCTCTCCCACTCTCTCTATATCTCTCTATATTTATCTATTTTTTTCATCTCCCTCTCTCTCTCAATCTATTTCATTCTCCTCGTTCTTTCATCTATTCCTTCTTCCTATTATTCCGTCTCTCCCTTTTTATCTCTCTCTCTGTCTCTCACTCTGTTTTTCTCTTCTCTCTCTCCTCTCTCTCACTCTCTCTATACCTATCTATCTTTCTCAGTTCTCTCTCTCTCTCTCTCTCTTTCTTTCTTTCTTTCTCTCTCTCTCTTTCTCTCTCTCTCTCTTTCTTTCTTTCTTTCTCTCTCTCTCTCTCTTTCTCTCTCTCAATGTATTTCATTCTCCTCGTTCTTTCACCTATTCCTTCTTATTATTTCTTCTCTCTCTTCTCTCTCTCTCCCTCCTCTCACACTCTCTTTCTCCATTGTTTCTCTCTCTAATCTATTTTTTATTAATCCTTCTCACTCTCGCCCTTTCTGTGCATTTCATACACACATGCACACAGACAGAATTGACTAATCGCTGAACTATGACAATACAAATGCACGTATTTTGTAATCTGACTTAGATTTAGCTGTGCCATTTATTTTTCACAATTCAATTTGGATCACGAGGAGTACGGCCATTTATTCTCCGATTTACTTTTATTTTATTTATATATATTTTATTGATGAAATAATCGTTGTAATGAATTTACAGGCTGACGGCGCTTGGAGTGATGATCGACAGTCAACTGTGTCGTCGTTTGAAAAATGAAAAACTCTCCAATTATTAATAATTCGTTCGAGGGAATGGACGATAAATTAATTACAGTTGCTTGTTTACAGGTGAAACTTCGTCGTTATAATATTCTATCGGCGAGAGATTTCTGCTGAGTCGCTTTAACTAAGGTCATGTGTGTTCAGCGTATCTCGGCTTCGAAGTCGGTCCGATTAATCATGATTCAGGAAACAAAGCGTTTCCTTCCAGCACGTAGAATCCTGCGATTAAAACGTTTGTAAGGTAGGAAGTTAGTTTTTATGATATTTTTCTATTGTAATTAGAAAATATAATATAAGTCTTGACGTAGGGAATTTAAATCAGAATTACTTTTCATCAAGTTTTATATTTTGTGAAAATTCTCGTTTGAAAAAATTGTTTTTAAAAATGAAAAAAAAACTATGGTTTCACATAACAGAAATATAATGTTAGGTCTAATTTTATTTAATTTTACAGTTAACAATAAATAAATACAAAAGATTAAAAAGGGAGTCTTAATCTACCTACCCTCCTGCCATCTTATAAGCATACTTCGTGTCTATTATTTACAAACGTAATTTTGAAGAAAATTCTTATAACAATGTGATTCATTTCAAATATCACAACAACCGGGGTTAAAGTATATTAAACAAGATTAGATCGTATCATCCTTAATGTGACGAGGCCATTCAACTTGACGTCGGCCTGGAAGAAAGTTAGGCGAAGAGGATTCAACGGCAATATTAAAGGAGTTTTCGCCTTTGCACGGATTGAAAGCTTAATCTCACTTCGTAGGCTTTTGAAATGTACCATTGTTTAAGGGCGAAAACAAAAGGGAAAAGTTCATTAGGAAACTTCCTGACAGGTTTTTCCCTCGGAGACGCAAACCTATGACATTGGGATAACATGGCATTTTTTTTCGTTTTGATGGGGGGAGGGGTAAATAGGATTTTTTGATTAATTCATCCTTTTATCGTGAGATTTTATTCTGCTTGGCATTTTGAAAAAGCGACATGGCAAAAATGAGACAGCTAAAATATTACGTTTTACGCAAAACTTAACTAAAATTCTGATTTATATTTTAAAAAAGCATTATAAGAGACTACCACAAAATACAATCCAAATATAAATTATATGAAGAAAGTCAATGACACATAGTTCATGCTCAAAAAGACAAGCAATAAAGAAAGACTTCTTTTGAAAAAATATTTATGATGAAAATTAATTATGAGCATTAAATTATGAATTAGTTACTGTGGGGAACACAAGCAAATTTAAACTTTCTCAGCACTAAACCGTTCACATGTTCATATAACAATAGATTTTAGCTTCTTTTCATTTAACTATCTTGTATTTTTTGTAACTTGTATTATTGAAATTTCTTTGCAAATGAGGAATTTTATTAAAACAAGTTACAAAACATACAAGATAGATAAATGAAAATAACCTACATCTATAAAAGAAGAGCAACATAACAAAAAGCTTATAGATTTTATTAAATTAATATTGAGATTGGGTTGTGTGAATTTGGCAATTTTTTTTCAAAACTGTACGTCCTTCATTATCTTGTTTCATTTTGTACTTGTCTTTGGATGCAATTTTTGGCTTATTTTAATTTTTATGTTTACTTGTGAGCTATGAGAAATTCAAAATTTCTATAGCTAGACGAAGGAATTTCATTCAAATAAAAAATTTAAAAAAAATTATAATTACCTACGATACAAACCAGCTTCATTTTTAAAAAATAAAAGAGATTTTTTTGGAAAAATAATTGTATAATGCTAAATAAAATAAACCTTGATAAACAAACAATACTATTAACATCAATTTATTAATATTTTTTAACTAAACATGCAAATGTTATTTAATGATGAATCAAATATAATTTAACTAATTAAGATTCAAACCCTTTTTATGTTAAGGTTTTTTAAAAGAAAATAACATTTTTCGGATGTTTTAAAGGTTGTATTTGAAAAATAAATTACATCCCGAGGGATCACCACGCAATTTATTGGGTTGTCCGGAAAATAATGCAGGATTTTGGTATTAAACAAAAAAAAAAGAAACTAGTTACTTTAAAGCAATGTTCTTTAATCAAAATAATTTCCCATACTCTCAATACATTTCTCCCAACGTGTTGGTAACTTATNAGGTGGTAGAGCAGCGGCGTATCTAGCCGAAGGTCGTGGGTTCGAATCCCTCTCGTGCCATTAACATTTTTTCATCTCAACTAAAAACCTTAATTAATTGTCATGTATTAATTGGTCAAGCGGACCACGAAATTAGTGAATTAATTTATTTAACTATTAAATAGTAAGTTAGAAAAGCGTGGGGGACATTTTTAGATATTTACACTGTATTTAAATGGTGATGTGTCAAACGGCCTAGATAAAAATATAAATATAATGCAAGCAAATGGAAATATAATAAACTAATAACACTCTAATCTAGTTGAACCGTAAAGAAAAGGTCAAATTTTATGATGAAGTTGTATTATCAACAGATTCAAAGAAAATAGCCTGTCTGTGAAATGTTTAACCTTAAGTCATTAAGAATTTACTGAAAGATAGAGAAAACGGACAAAAGAAACGTAGGAAATCGCTTGTAGGCATGTATAGACTATAAGAAAAAAATAATACAACAAAGCCTCTCAGATTTATGGGCCTCAAAAGGAGTAAAATAAGCAGTATCAACTTTTTTTAGTAAGTATGCAGGGCCACTGGATTCGAACCCGGGGCCTTTACCTTACAGTGATGAGCGCTGTGTCAACGCCTAACCGTTGCGGCCACCGACGCCCCTATTGTATTATTTTCCCCGCAATAAAAGGGTTTTAAGTTTCAAAACGTTTTTAGTCCATTCATTCAAAATTTCCTTGCATTTTTCATTT